GGGAAGAGTGAAAGTGTGCTCCCGTGACTGAGTGCAGCCCCAGAGCACGCTCGCTTGTTTATCTGCAGGCCCGTTGGCTTGTAATGTCACGTGAGCCCTGCAGAGCCACTTGGAGAGTCAGGTGGTAGCTCTAAGAAATAGATTGTTGTTGTTGTTGTTGTTATTATTATCATCATCACCACCATCATCATTATCATTGCCATCATCATTGCCATCACTATTACATGTCATTTACCCCCCCATGCACTCTAAGCCATGCCAATATTGGGTTGTTTTGCTTTTTATTTTCCTTCTGCAGTCCTCTGAAAGATGTGTGCGCTGGTTTTCAGTTAGCTTCCGCCGATGTTTGGCTTCGCTCTTTATTACAATAAATTCTGTAGAAAATATTTTCCTTGGGAGAGCATTTGCTGATCTTTACCCATCTTTCGTAGCACCTGAGTACACACAGTTAATTAAAGACAGCGTTGTAAGGAGCACAGCTTGAGGGCTGATCTTGAAACGCTGTCTCTGACTTCATGGGTGACCTTGAGTAGATTGGCTGGACCACAGCGGTTCTTGGAGCTCAGGGTGTGACTTGGTGGTTGCTGCAGGTGGATAGGTCACTGCAAAAGGGCTTTTGTATCTTCCTGTTTCTGAAGTATCATCTTTCTTTGAGATCTGCAAGGAAAAAAATAAATCCTAGGGGTGCTCAGTAGGTAGCACAACAGAAACCCTTTAGATTGTGCCATTAACAGTTGAGTAAAATGTTTTTCCTCATCCTTTGGCCTCTGAACACACCCCTCTGTCCATCTGTCTCATCTAATTAACACAAATCGCAGAATTGAGCTCCATGTCTTTTCGCCCAAGCTAGTCATGTTGTTCATTTTTCACACGGGAAAACAGAAATGTTGGGCTTGTTTTCAAAGGTAACTCTGCTCCCGTGGGATATTGAAATGGCTCAGTGTCAGTATAATTAGCTCAGCTGATGGTCACTAGCAGGGACAGTGCTGCCACTCAGGGTAAGTGGTGCTAGTTGAGGTAAACATCATCAAGACAGAAGATCGGTTACACTGACAAGTGTTTTGTTTGGTGGAGATCAGCAGTGAAGTTCATACACAAAAGCCAGGGATTCCTGGAGTCCTCTGCCTTCCCTGAGGTACGGAAATTATGCTCAGAAGGTTGAGCAGCAGAGGTTAAAGATAGGTGACTGCTCTGTTAGGAGCTTCACTGGTAGTCTTGTAGTGTCTAAAATGACAGTACAGTTGCCTGTTGAATGGTTTTCTTTCTGCCACGTCACCTCATGGTTCCGTTTCTGTCCACGCTGTAAGGCTCACTCCAGAGTTGCTGTGATCGTAGATACCCAGCATTAGAGGTGAATATTTGGATTTTGTGTACATGTACGTGCAGTCTCATTTTGGTAAGCATAAGTACCAAAAATCTCCTTCTTTCTGGCGCAGGCTCCCAGAACACAGGCCGTAGTTCACCACCGCCTGGGTACGTTCCAGAGAGGCAACAACGCATTGCTCGGCAGGGTTCCTACACCAGCATCAATAGTGAAGGCGAATTCATCCCAGAAACCAATGAACAGTGTGTAAGTATGACCATTATGGGTGGAAAAAAACCCAAGTCCACCTGTTCAGGAAGTCGCTGCTGCTCTCTGGGTCTTCTTTTTCACTCCAGAATAATCATTAGCACCTACCAGTACTGCTTTGTTCGTTTTAACTACGCTTCAAACTCGTTTGTAGCTGTGCAAGTTCAAAAGCCTTTGTTGGTCTGCCAGAAGCAGTTACTGTGCATATGTTGGCATTGTCTCTCCACCTCCGAATGAGCAGTTTTGGTGTGCGTTACACGTGTATGCTCAGGTTTCCGATTACCAGGTTCCTGTGACCCTCTTGCATTTGAAACTGCACTCTCCATTCAAAAAAGTAGGAAGTGAGGCCAAAGGGCGGCTTGCAGGTGGAGGCAGCAATGCAGTAGCACCCGCAGAGACTCTGTTCCTGGAGTTACTTGGGACCAAAATGCAGCACGAGGCTGACTTAAGCTTTCATTTTCACAACCAAGCCATTCGACACCTAAAGCAATGGCTCAGATTTTATGTCCTTAACAATTTCTGTGGGAGATAAAGGGAAAATGTACATTCTGAATAGCTTTGGACTCCCCTTTTCATCTGGACGTTCTCCAGGCAAGCACTGGTGGACTCTAATCCTCTTGCACAGCCTCTTTCAGGCATTAGACGGCACTGATCTTGCTTTGTGATTTCTTCTGTGTTGCAGATGCTGGACCCTTTAAGCAGTGCCGAAAACTCGGTGTCAGGAAGCTGCCAGTCCTTGGACAGGTCAGCAGACAGGTATAAATGTACAAGCTGGTAGGAGCTTCTGTGCTCAAATGGAAATGCCAGTTGTACTTCTGCAAAAGTCTGTTTTCCATTTCCTAAATTTTCTTGGAGAGAAAATAGAAACTTATTTCCTATCTATATCCCAGTGTATTTCTTAGAGAGAATTAACTATGTCTTAAGGCTGTTTTATTTTCTGGCAGAACCACACGCTGACAAACTGGTGCTTCAGTAGGTCTGTGTTATAAATACAAGTTCTAAACGTGCCGTCCGTGTGGAGCCTTGACTCCGAGAACATCTGGCTGCAGGGTATTTAAATCTCTCTTAGACAAGGCTCTGCTTGTTCATTTGAAGAAAGAAGAAACCACCAAACAAAACAACAGCCTATTCTAAGGTTACAGAAATATATCATTACACTAGATTCCTGTGTCCTGCAGGATACAATATGAATTCCAAAGGTAAATAGGGAGGCTCTTCCTTTGATGAAGAGTTCGTCATAGTCTGATGCTGTAGATCTTTTTCTTCCCTTTCTTTGCTGTTGATGCTGCTTGAGGTGCTGGTGGGCAAGTGCAAGTCCTAGTAACTTGAATAACTGTAATTTTGGGCTTCAGATTCCTCCAGGCTGCTTCCTGTAGGTAGCATATGATTTATGTCAAGCATTTGAGGGGTGGTTTTATAGCCATTCGCTTTTTGCAGTTTCTGGGGTTACAAGGAAGCACTTGCAGTTAATCTATGTATATGCACACGTTCATTTATTTGGAGGCAGGGACACTGCTAATTTGCTACCTGTCCTCTCCCGTTTCCCTGCCATAAGTGGAGGAAAAGCCTTCGTGATTATTCCTTGTAGGAATGGGCATCATCTGGGGAAGCTGTTGTTCTTTGCGTAGTGGGAAAGGAGTCTCATTAGAGAGTTTGGAAGCGGGCTCACTCCATTTACACTGGTTAACAACAAAAAATGTGCAAATAACATGGCTTTGGCACAGATTGAGTTTTTGTAATCTCTTAGAAGGTGTTAAAGTCCTTCTGACAAAGAAGGGGCCACACTTAGGCTTGCTTGAGGAGCCCTGCTTACTGAGGAGAAATGCACGGGTTGTAAGAGGAGGAGGTAGAGAGGAAAGTGTACAGAAGTTTTCATTAGAGGAACCCTTACGCCTCATGGTAAATCACTGGGGGCAGTGGTCCCCACTGTCCACTGCCCTGTGAGCAATGTGCTGCAAGCAATCCCCTGTTGTGCTCTTCCTCTTAGTCTGGGTTTTAATCTATTTCATGTGGCTGAAGGAAGTGCTGGGGCTCAAGGCTGGGGAACTTCTGAATAAGTGGCACAAGCTGAACAGAAGAGTTGACTGCCCACATAGGGAAATAGTCTGGTTAACTGGGGCTTAGCCTGACTTCAGCTTTGCAGGTGTAGCATGAAATTATTGCAGGGGCACAGATTCGAGAATCACCGTTACTGATGTGCAAATGTATTAGCTTGTATTTAAAGTCCTTGTAGGTTTCTATCCAGTAGATAGCAAAACTTACTCTTGCCTTCTTTCTTTAATAGTCCTTCTTTTCGGAAGTCACGGATGTCAAGGGCACAAAGCTTTCCTGATAATAGACAGGAGTTCTCAGGTATGTCAGTGTCCAGTGTAAAGACTGTTTGATCTAGACATTTCCTGCTGTTTGCTGGCTACCCTAAATGTTTGCTGGGATTATATCAATAGAAGAACTGGGATATGTTGATTGAAAAGCAATGAAGTCGTTTAGCACTTGCCTCTTCCTAAAAAAACTTTGCTGTTACAGGAAAATTCTGACATTAGAACATGTGCTTTTGGAAGGAGCCTCACGTCTCTCTTTGCATCTCCTTCCAGACCGTGAGAATCAGGTCTATGACAAAGCGGGGAAAGGTGGGACCTACCCTCGGCGCTATAACGTCTCCATGCAGCACAAAGACTACAACGACGGTGAGTTGTTGTCAGACCTTCGATTCCAGGCTTGAAAAAGAAAGCGAGGCAATGACAACCTCCAGGGGCGAGTGTAACTCCTGGTTGAGGAGTCTGGAAGTGCCCTGATCCTTGCAGTTAGTGCTGGAGTTAATGGTACCACACGTGATGCCACACTTTCATAGCAACACATGATAGCTGTTTTTAATTCCTTTTTTACTTCGCCCTTTCTGGGGATATCCAAGCTGATCTAGGGTTGAGCAGTGGACGTAGTTGTTAGCCTTGGTCTTACATAGTGAGTTCCTACCTCGGGCATTCATTATGCTTTGCTAATTCACAGCGCAAACTGGCTTCTGGGTCTTTTAAATATACCAGTGACTTAAAGAATCACATCTCTGCTTGTCAGATGGCTTATGCAAATTAAGTTCTCAAATTTTCAAAGGAGGTGCGAGTTGTAATAATCTTTGTTTATGGTTTTAATTTGCAAGTCCAGGCACGCTATCTAGAAAGTCCTGTGTAGTTGTTAACAAGGCTCAGAGCTTGAGCAGTAGCCTGTAAACCAGATCTTTGCTTTGGAAGGCAGGCTTAGATCTTGCACTGCTGCACTGAGGGCATCACAAAGGGTGCTCTCCCATCTACTTTGGGAGTGATCCAAAGCTGTACTGAGCTCAAGCCACATCAGCCCTCGGCTGTTATATTTTTGCATCTTGTCTGTTTGACAGTAGATTCTACTCCATGGGAACAGACCACAACATGTTTTCTATTTCCCTTGTCTTCTCTGCTGACCCTCCAGCCATTACCCTTGTAAGCACGTTATTTAAGAATTTTGCTTTTGTCTGCAGGCCGGCGAACATTTCCCCGGATACGGCGTCACCAAGGGAATCTCTTCACCTTGGTCCCTTCAAGTCGTTCCTTAAGCACCAACGGAGAAAACCTGGGCCTGGCGTTGCAGTACCTGGACCCCCGCGGACGCCTGCGCAGCGCAGACAGCGAAAACGCCCTTGGTGTGCAGGAGAGGAACATTCCCACCAAATGTGAGCAGCCACCCTGGTGATAACTGGGGAAAGACCCCCTGGGGTTACGGGCAAGAAAAGCTTTTAGAGATGAACTCCAGACCCAGTATGTTACAATAGTTTGATTTTAACAAACCGTGTAAAACCACATAACTACATGGCGGTGTTTTGAGACCAGGTCCTCTTTTTTCTTCTAAAAATACGTAGTCTTGCACTGGAGCTGGCCTTTTCTTTACAAAGCGTTGGAAATCCAGCTAAGAAGTCAAAAAGCCTGCACGTTAATTGGATCTAGATGATGTACAGGGTTCTTAGAACAGTCAGACAAGTTTATTTTCGTGATACATTAATGTTTGTAGTCAGGCTTGTGGATTACAGTTGTTGTACTAGTTAAGGGTTGTATATATTTCTCTTGCTCCCTAGTAGAAAGATTTACTTCTGTATTAATAGCATCCCTGCATTAGTTTTTGGGGGACTTATAAAAAGCGAAATGAAGCATAAATCATTACTGATGAACTTCAGATATCCCACACAGTAATTTAAGAAAAAAAAATGAAGACATTAATGCAGCAGAGTAAGCAACACACTAAAATACCGACTGGCAGTAAATCTGATTAAATTAGAGATGGCAAAGCTGATCCCTTAGCTCTTCTGTATTTTCACACTGTCCAGATGGCTGGTTCCTCTCGTTGTTTTTAGAGTTTCTTGTTAAGAGACAACATAATTGGATGCGTTGCACTGCGTGAGTCTGGTAGTATCATGTTCAAAGCCAGCACTAAAGCACTGGTCTTTGAGTAATGTGTTTTGGTATTAAGTGCAGCCTGGAAAACAGGGCTCAGGTGTTTTATCTCTGGGTCAGGAGGCTGCTGCTTGTGCAGTGTGCTCGCCAGCGCAGTATAACAATGAGCACTCATAATTCTCTGCTCATGTGACCTCCTGCTGGGGAATTGGAGGTGGCTGCTTTAGCTGGTTCTCCTGTATATTTGTATTAGAATCTGATAGTTCTGCAGGTAAAGAAGATACCTGCATGGTGTCTATGTTATGGCCCCTACCGTACCCATTTCTAGTAGGGAACTATGATTTCTCATTTTTCTGCTGTAGAGACAGCTGTTCAATGAAGTCCTTGCCACAGGAGAAGGAACACTGTGCTAATGGTTGGCAAAGATCTCTTAAGATAGTGATGTTGTAGTATCCACTCTGCTGGTGGAATGAAATTTCATCAGCATTGCATGATTGTCTGTAGTATATCTGTAAAATGTTCTGCAGTTTCACTTTAATGGGACACCAGTCAGCAGGTCCTGCGAGTCTGAATAGTTGGATTCTGTTCAGAGTTCTGCCACTGACTCCCCTATACAGGGAGAGTGCCTCATGTCTGTTTCTTCAACCACAAAATACCTGTTTCAGTTCCAGTACGATGGGGATTGATCTTTGAAAAGATCACCATTATCTTTAAGTAGTGTAATGAAAAGAGCAATTGTTACTGTTCTTTTTTAGCTCCAAGTGCTCCAATAAACTGGCGACGAGGAAAACTACTGGGCCAGGGTGCCTTTGGTCGTGTGTATTTGTGCTATGACGTGGACACGGGCAGAGAGCTTGCAGCTAAGCAGGTCCAGTTTGACCCAGAGAGTCCTGAAACAAGCAAGGTAATTCTCATTGCAGCCTCCAAAACTCATCATGCAAACTTTGAAACGCTGTCAAGCGCCTGTATCTGTCTGTCCTCGAAAGCTAGTATCTTATTTAGTTTGTGCTAGGGCTTCAAGTCATGTGGAGAGGAATAAGAGTCATTTAAAAATTACTTTTCTGTGTTACTAACTTCAGCCTGAAACTAAAATCCATTTTCTGGCTTCATTTTTGGCTCTCTCTTCTCAGCTTTTTGGTTTGTTGCCAGGCTCCTTGAGGAATACTAGACTGCCCTGTGTTCCTGGTTAGACAGGGATGTGAATGAAACTAAACCCAGAAAGAGTATATTTTTGTTTTCTTTTTTTAAACAAAAAAATGCTGCATGCACTTGCAAAACCCACTTTCTGGGCTGATATAGTAGGCCCTGTATCAAGTGAATTAACTCTCGATTTCTGCGTTTGAATTCTCCCTGTTCTCCAAACAAACCGAATTGTGGTGTGTGAATTAATCAAGAACGGTGATGTGACAACACATTATAAATAGTGGAGATGGGAAGGGGCACCTTGAAATTACAAGTTTAGCACATGACTCCCTGCAGAGTGGATGCAGCTGGGATGGCTGTTAGGTTCTTTGCTAGAGTTTTAACAATGTACCGGTTTCCCAGTATTGAACAAATTCACTTTGAGCTGGAATAACTGATCCATGAAGATCTAATTATTCTGATTTTATGCGGGATATTGGTGCCAAGATAAGTCCTAACTTGGTAAGTTCTAAGTTGTACCACGTCTCTGTTGTAAATCAGGCAGTGACTCTGAGCCAGGGAAGAACAGGCTGGAATGCATTTTGGAGGCACTGAAACTCCAAACCCTGAACTATCAGTTGGCCCAATCAAGCAACTTCCTCTGGTTCCTTGCAGCTCTGCAGCAGCCAGGTCCTTGCTCTTGAAGAGCTGCTTCCTCTCCCAAAGCAAGAGAAAAGAACCTGGCACTTGCATTGACAGGAGTAGAGAGAGTTAAGTGGGACTAATTTTAGGGAAACCATCATTTCTTTTTCCATAAATCCCCGTGCTGCGATACCTTTGATGTTCAGCCTGTTCATTCCCTGGATTCAGCAAGAACCTGATACTTTTCCTGGGCAACAAACATCTCTGATTCAGTCTGAAATTGTTGGATAGACTTTTTGCCTCTGCGCCGTGATACCCTGTTGTCTGTGGCAGGAATAAAGCAGAGAATCACTGTCATGTTCATAGCTACAGATTCTTTGAAGTAAATCAGAGAGGAAGCTGTTTCTAAGGTTGATTCACGTAAAATCGTCAGTGTGAATCGGAACAGGACTAGGTGAGGGTTGAGGTTCCTACAGAAAGATTGCTAGCAATTCTATAATTATGTACTCATTGCTTTTTCATAATTGAAATTAACGCTCACTGCCCTCAGCTTAGTGCTGAGAAGTAAAGTTGTATCTGCATCATGCACGAAGAATGCTTTTTGGCTAAAGCCTTTCAGCTGACAGAATCAAGACAAGAAACAAAGCTTTTTTTCTGGTACTGAATCCCTATGTGATACTGCCTGTGTTCTAACTATCAAAGCTTCTGCACCAATACTTACCTGCTTATTCTCAGTAAGGATTAATGTGAAGCACTGGTAATGTTTGCTTTTCCCAAGAGATAGGTGAGCCAATGCCGTGAATTCGACTTCTGCAGTGTAGCTGTGGCCTCATCCTTCCAGTGACATGGACAGATTTATTAGGATGGAATATTTCCTGAACCTTATTTTCCGGAACCTTATTTTCTCCTTCATCATCCATAGGAAGTGAGTGCTCTGGAGTGTGAAATTCAGCTGCTGAAGAATCTCCAGCATGAACGTATTGTTCAGTATTATGGCTGCTTACGGGATCGAGCAGAGAAGACCTTGACCATCTTCATGGAGTACATGCCAGGGGTAAGAGCTGACAGGAGCAGCACAGTCATGGATCATAAAGTGAGATGGGTGCTTTTATTAGTTGGTTTATTAGTTGCTGTGATTACACTGTGTAATCCATCTTATGTCCTTTTAGGAATGCCCCTTTCTCATACTGGCTTTACAGTGCCACCACTTTCTTTTTATTTGTGCCCAAACCACATCTTTGGCCTTTTTCTTAGTGCCTCGTACTTGAAGTACATTCTCTTCATTAGTTACTAACACCAGTTCTTTTCTTCAGTCTAAATTTGTTCTAACAAAGTAATTTAGAGGACTTGAGCCAACTCGTAAATCTGGCTGAGTCATACAGCGCAGCAAGTTAGGCTAAAACTGACTGAGCAAAAAGGAGACTTTTGACCCGAGTCGATCTGCTGAGCTATTTTATTGCTTGTCTTCATAAACAGATGTACCAGCCCAGCTCAAGGATGGGGGAAGCAGACAGAACCTCCTTAAGCTATTTTTGTTGTAAAGCGTGTCCTTGCTTTTCTTAAAAGGGGCTTCACAGGGCGAGATGCTCTGGCTTTAGAAGAGGCCAGAATTCATTATGGTGCTGGTCGGGTGTATAACGCAGTCACAGCTCGAGGGAATTGAATGGAGACTGCAAGATTTGTGGTTTGTCGCTTCTTTGCCAGTCTCTTCTGTTTGCTTTTGGTGCAGGGGTCAGTGAAAGACCAGCTGAAGGCGTATGGTGCTCTCACGGAAAATGTAACCCGGAAATACACTCGCCAGATTCTCGAGGGAGTCTCGTACCTACACAGCAACATGATTGTGCACAGGGACATAAAGGGTGAGATCAGCTGTGATTTATGTGTGTACCATGTGCTTAGAGGAGCTCTGAAAAAAGTTACCAAGTGTTAAGAATTCACTATCCTGACTGGGCTTCTGAACATTGCTCAGTTATCCCTTTTTGGTTGTGTTATCAGGGCTTAGGGAAGATCATGTGCTGGGCTGGGTAAGGGAAGTTGGGCTGTTCTCTCTACAGGACCTGAGAGCGTGGCAGTTGGTTATAGTAAGGAAGACTGGAAGCCTTTAATTCTCAGGAACACTGCTCTGTAACTCATCTTTCTCTCACACCCCAGCTGAGTTGCCACCTGATTTTCACTGCCCCCATAAAACATGCTCATTTCCCTCTGGATTCCCTTCTAATTTCTTTTTTGCTTGGCCGAAATACCAGTTCTCAGCTGGTAGGCATACCAAGAGCTCCATGACTGCTCTTAACAGTTGTGCTTACCTCAGGCTCTTGTGACCATCCTGCCAACCTCTAATCTTCCATGTAGAGCCTCTGTGATTAGTCCTTAATCTTCCTCTTCCCAATATAACCCCAAGGAGCCAGGCAGTCTCCTTAAGAGTTAATACCAACAGATGTGGTGGACACCACACGAAGTTTTCTGTGCTCTAGAGGGACCAGGAGGTTTGTTTGCTGCAGGAAAAATATCCTCTTGTTCCTGCCTATAAATCTTCATTGCATCCCCTCTAGGCTGGCAAAGGGAAATGAGCTGCTGATTCTTGAATAACACCTTGCATACTGCTCTTCTGGTGCTCTTTACCAAATGATTTCCTACCTGGTGGGTTATTCACTTGCTTGCACCCATTTAAGCCAAACTGTTAACTTGCCTCCAGTGTGCTGGATGGACAGACTTGTTATCCTGAATTCAGCTCTTCCAGTGGGGAAGCGAAGTGATAAAGCTGTCTCCCAGCACAAATGCCTTTTGATTTGAAGGCAGAAAGAGTTCACATAGGCACATACCAGATAATGAGTTCTTGATCTTATTGTGGCTTTGGAGGAAGAATTGTTTTTGGTGTCTAAACCTTAGTTTGTGTCCACATATAAGCTAAGCTCTTAAGTTTGCTTTCTTCCCTAGTGCTTCATGTTCAAGACCTCTGACCAAGTGAAGTGGAGATTGACTTGTTTATTGTAGGAGTTCAAAGTGGTTTAATTAGCTACATCTGTTACCCAGCTGACCAGAAAGCGGTGGTTGTACTAACCAAAGCAGCTTCCCAATAAAATCCTTTTCTACACAGCTATGTGCTCTCTGAGCCATTGGCCTGGGGGCCCTGCATAGGCTGTCTGAGCTGTTTACAGGCAATGTAACAATGATGGTGCTGACTCAGCTCTCATTTCCCTTCCCTCTTCACTTCCTTGTGTTTTTTCCCTGAAGTTTTTCCCATTTGCAGCCATTAGCAATTGGCTTGTCTACAGCCTGAAATAAAGAAATGATGTTTAGCAGGTCACCTGAGGCTTAATGGGGAAAAAGTCATACCATGAGCATGGGTATTTCTGGGTTGGATATCGGCTCTGTAGGCTGTGGATCCAACAGCTGGATTGCATGAAAACAGCTGTCTCAATTCTTTTTTTTTTTTCTTTTGTCCAGGAGCCAATATTCTCCGTGACTCTGCTGGGAATGTGAAGCTTGGGGACTTTGGGGCCAGCAAACGGCTGCAGACAATCTGTATGTCTGGAACAGGCATCCGATCTGTCACTGGCACACCATATTGGATGAGCCCAGAGGTGATCAGCGGGGAAGGCTATGGAAGAAAAGCAGACGTATGGTGAGGCTTTAACTTTCTGTCCTTAGATAAATTTACAGCTTTTCTGGAGTGAGATAAGACGTACACACTCTGCTGTCCATATATCCGAAGTCAGATTTTGTCTGGATCAGAAGTGAGTGCGATTTAAGGCGAGCTGAAGTGGTTGGTTTGAACTCAAGACGTGACCTGCTGCAGGCTGTGCATTGCAGTGTCAACACACAACTGCTTGTTTAGTTTTTCACAAGCAATTTTCCCCTCATTCCTGCCTCAAACCGATAGCTGGTTTTCTGCTTTCCGACCTTCTAGTGTGAGATTTCCATCCTTATATGAGACAATGGAGATTGTTTAGAGAGCATCCATTCATTTTGTTATAAAATGAGAGGTATGCTTATAACACTGTGGAAACGAAAGGAACAGAATCTGAGTATGTTGCCAAAGCTTTAAGGGAAAGATGCCTGAACCTGGAATAACACAAAAGATACAGGTCAGATCAGAGTTGATCCGAAGTATGCGTGAATGGAAACTGTAACCTTGCTATTATTGGCATAGCCAAGAAATGACCTCTGCGGAAAGGAAAAAAGCAAAATGGTCCTGTGTCAAAATGTTAGTTTTGGAGGCCTTGAAAAGGTGAGATGATAAAACTAAACTAAACAACAGCCACAAAAGGTGTGTTTGTGTCTCCAGAGTAAAGCGAGGCCTGTGCTGTTTCCTGTACAAGCAGCGAGTGGAAACATAGCCAAAATCTGTCTCGTATGCAAAGAGTTAAGGTCTGCAGACTCTCCCAGTTGGGATGCTTGGGGAGAGAGAACGGAGCACGTGCCCTTCCCCCTGGGTTGATGCAGTTGTGGATTTCCTCTCGGTGCTGACATCGGCCTGTTCCCATCAAAGAGACGCTGCCGTTGGCCGGGCTCCAGTTCCTACAATCCCCATCATTATTTAGGGGGGTCAGAATTTTCCAGCGCAGCGTTAGTCCCAGGGTGGATGCGTATGGCCGAGAGGCTCAAAGACGTAACAGATCTCGCCACCTGGCTTTCTGCCACTGCTGCAGGCCCCTCTCCAATTTTCTTTTTCCTAAATAGCAGAATATGTGAGCTATTTGTTATTGCTGGAGTGACTTGACATGAAAAACATGCCTGCTGTTTGCTGAATATCTTAAAGAAACCGGATCTGCTTAAACGGTATAAATCAGTCTAAACAATAATATATCCCTGCTTGCTCTTGAGCAAACCCCCAGCACTTCAGCACACATGGTTTGCATTTTCTGTACTCTCTTCTAGTAAGTCTTAAATGGCTGGAAACCAATGTAAAATTTTCACGTTGGATTTTAAACCTTGTTAAGAAGTAGTTTCTTGCATATTCACTGGATTTAATTCCTTTCCTTCCTTGCCTTGGCAATTGATGCAGGTCTGCCTCTGAAAATGTCTTTGCTTTTTCACTTCAAAAGAGAATTTAATTTAAAGGCAGAAGAGGCAGTTTTGGCTTTTTAATGGAACAATGCGATCAAAAAACACAGGGCTGGATATTAGAAATTTGCTAACTGCTTTTGCTTAATCTGTGGCCTGGAGGAAGCAATTAATTCTTTTTGAACAGAAACCAATCACTGCAGAACTACAGAAACCCATCTTCCCTGTGCAAGCATTGGTGTCGCGCTTGCTTCGGAAAGGTGGCTGAGCCGTGTCTGTCCCCGTAATCACGTTCTTGCCTCGAAGCAGCCTGCAGAGCCCCATTAACTTCACTGGGAGTTCTGCCTTAACGTAACGATGCATCTGCCCTGCTGGCGTTTTAACTTACTGCCTCCTCAGGTTGGAGCTGCTAAGACTGTAATTATTTTTTGACTGTGTATGATGCATGGTTTCTTGTGAAGTGAAGATACTAGCTTTTTTTTTCCCCCCCTCACACGGACATACTGAGGCTGAAGAGGGATTTTGCTGAAATGGCTTTGTGGTGTCAACCACAAATCCACTGATTCACTGCACCTTGATTAAAAAGTATGTTTTCTCCCTTGCAACTCAGCAAGTGCCTTTGAGATACAGCAGCACCCAAAATACCACTGAGATCAAACAGCGCCTTCAGGGCCAACTCCTGTGCACCTCTTGTCCCCTGTTGCCACTGCAAATGTTTACTGAGAGGGGATTTTGGGCAAAGGAGAGCTGGACAGATGGCACTTTGCAGTTGTCAGTGCAGCAGAACCGCAGTGGAAAGCAGCCTCCCTGGCTCGGCGCTTCGCTGCTGGCCTGACAGTAGCAAAAGCAGCGACGTTGGCAGGTCTGGCGCAGAGTCTCCACACATGGGGTTTGCTGAGCACAAAGCCATTTTATGGCCGTACCTTGATGTTGGCTGCTTGGAAGTCCTCTCTGAACACTGTACATTATTGTGTGAGTCAATTCTCACTTTATTTTTTTTTTTCCCCTTTCCTGTCTGCTTTTCCAGGAGCCTCGGTTGTACTGTGGTGGAAATGCTGACAGAGAAACCACCCTGGGCAGAGTACGAAGCCATGGCAGCCATCTTCAAAATCGCCACCCAACCAACCAACCCCCAGCTCCCCTCCCACATATCAGAACATTGCCGGGACTTTCTAAAGCAGATCTTTGTGGAAGCCAGGCACAGACCCTCTGCTGAAGAGCTGCTCAGACATCAGTTTGCACAGCTCCAGTACTGAATTACCTCCCTCGCTAGCAGCTCCTGCTGGGCTTTCGGTGCCCCGTCTGGTCTAGTTGCAACTGCCCGTTGTGGTGCTGCATCTTCAAAATGCCAACTCAGCTGTCCTAGTCCTTTGGGGAAATTATGCCAAGGAACCTAGGGTCCGCTCTTGTGCCTGATACCTTTGTTTGCTGGACTAATGTTTATTCTACCGACAGCTGTCCAAACAGAGCTGCATTTTTTTGCCCTAGTTACCTTGATGTGAAATTGCAGCTGGCTGCATGTTTTCTGCAGGCCCGAGAATGGGAATCTGAGAAGTATCTCACTGGTTGAACAGAGAAGAAGTCTGAACCGAAGTGGGAACTGGAAGAGCTACACTCTTCAGAACAGAAACGTGCAGCAGCCATCCAGACCAGCTCTCTGCGTGTGGGCCACTGTTTTCCAGACTGCTAGGGCTTTAGAGGCATCTACAGTACCTGAATCCAGCAAAAAGCCATGTGTCATTGAGCATGCGCTCGCTATATAATGATATATTTTTTCTTCTTAAGTATTCAGCATCTGAAGGTGTTCAGAAAATATTGATTCAAAAGTATGTGAATAGTGTTATTTTATAATGAATCCATGGATTTTTTTTGGGGGGGGAGGCAAGGGAGGTCTTTCTAGCTAAAAATGTCAGGATAATCAGAAAAGTTTCAGCAAAATGCAATCACTCCAGGGCCTGAGATATGGGCTCTCCCACTGACATGGGAAAATCCAGAGCTTGATTTCCGAGGCTTGATCTGTCCTAGCATTAAGACAGTGTCGGTTACTTTGCGTCCTCATAGCCAACAAATCCGTGTTCCTGCTTCATCTCCCTGAGACTGCTGGGTCTAAACAAAACCCTTCTGGAAGGGAGTTCTGTGGAGCAGCTTTCTGTTGCACCCATCTTTTTGGCTGGTAACTTTCTACCATCCTTTAAACCAAAGATAGTTCATCCGGTGCCCAGGAATTCACTTCAGGAAAAGCTGGTAATGTGTTTCTTTGAGGACCTGGCCTAATGGAAAACTGAGTTTTTTTCATGGGGAGGATTTGCTGGACGCTGGTTTGACTTGTGCACAGTAAGTTAGGATCAAGCTCAACCCTTCAGTGTGTGTGTTTTGTTATACAGGTGTGCAAGTGTTCATATAAGGTTTCCATAAAATCTTAGGGCCCTATTTAAATAAGCTTTTGTACGAGTTAAGCCAAACAGTGAACCAGAGGGAACATTTGTAATGCTAGCATATTTCTAAAATGAGCTGGAGATCCCCAGACAGGTGCCAGCAAAATACATCCAAGTGATTTTTGCATTTGAAAAGGTACCACATCTCTGAGAGCTGAGTTCCTGATGGCCTCAAATACTGCATGTTGATTTGGGCACTCGTAGTCCTTTCTTTCACTCATAAAAGAGCAGCAGTTTCCAAGTGCTGGGGATTCATGGAGTAATTAAGTTATCTGTGTGAAATGGAACTTAAGCAAATGTATTATTAGCTGAAATACTGCTTTACAGAGCAGTGCTAGAGGTGTGCTGCTCTTGTACTGGAAACCATATTAAGGGTCCACATACCTCCACTCTTCTCCCCCATAAAAACTTGAAAATTGCTTTCATAATGCAGTAAAATTAATGTTTTTTAAGTGAATGCTAATAGCAGGGTAAGGCAAGTTTTAATGAAACCGAGCTCCTTGAACACATCATAAATTCTGTATTGAATTAACCCTAAAAAACCCCAAACAACCAAAAACCCTGAAAGGGTGTAACCATCTGCAGTGTCTCAGAGCACTGTGTGATCAGTGAGCAAGCCAGCGTTGGTTTCACTTTCAGGCTCTCCTGCACTACTACAAGGATGCACTGTTTAGGTTGCAGGCACTTAGGGAGATACCTTTTATGAAAGCCCTTGTTCCATAATTTATTTAATTCTAATGAGAGCACTTCTATGGATCTTTCCCAAACCTGGAACTTGACTCCAGATTGTCAAGACACCTGACCTGACTTTTGGCCTGCGCTTCACTGTCGCTTGCACCGAAGGGAGGTGAGGGCACGACACTACTACTCTGTTGTAGGGAGCATTTTACACCACTTCGCTGGGGTATAAATGTGAAAGCACTCCTGGAGTCTTGGTGACAGAGGTAGGGTGGTCAGCACTCCTGTGGGGCCTCTTCAAGCCTTGCAACTAGCACCTAAATATACCAAAGATTGGAATCTCTTCTTCATCGTGCTTTACCCTGCAGACGTACAGCAGCGATCAAGAGCGCGGTGATCCCGTCTGCGTAGGTTTCTTCTACCCTTGGCTTGTCCTCACCAAATTGGGACCTTCTTCCGTGGTCTTTCCTTGCTATCCCACACGTTGTGTTTTGGGAGAGAGTAGGGCACAAGGAAAAGGTGTAACTTTTAATGTTTCACAGCAACTAAATCCTCAGGATCTGTTGTGGCTTTTACCTCATACGCGGCGTGGAAGGCTGTTGCAGAGTAAAGAGCATCGTGGACTGATGGGCTCAGTCCTTCTCCCTGCCAGAGCTTCTGGTCCTTTCCACCACCTATGCCGAAACGTGCCTACTCTGCGTCGACAGTTATATCCCAGTCTATCAGTGGAAGTCAGTCGCACTTGTGCAGTGACAGAGAACATGGGGTGCCAGCTTGGACTTCTCGTATTCCCGTACCCGACCCAATGCCGCGCGTTCGGCACAGGAACAAGCCAAAGCATTACTTGTATGTTTGGAGATGCACTTTTCTGAATGTAGTTTATATCGCTCTTTTTTAGCTCTTTTTACATCATGTAAACGGTGATGCCTCATACTTCTTTTTTTTTTTTTTTGGTTTTGTTTTAATTTATATCGTAAAAGATCATATTTGGTGATTTTTATATATATCGACTCGACTGTTACGGGGTTAGGGGGGAGGACGGGAAATAAATTTGACGCCTTTATGAATTTAAAAAGGAAAAAAAAAAAAAAGCAGCTGGTTTTGCGGAGAATTTGCTGATGGTTTATAACGAGTAGAGCCAAGCCAAAATGCCGCCTTTGTTTCCTCACAGCCCTCTTGATTACGGAAAAGGAAGATCTGGATTCCTAAGTCCACTGCTACGGTGAATAAGCTTGGAGCCAGCGTTTATACTGCAGTCTCTTAACACTGCCCTGGCAGCAAAAAAAGTTTCAAGTGGACGTAAATGTAATTATACCTCTAAATTGAATTATATCTGGCCTCTATCCTGGCAGAATTCAAAAAAACCTGGGAATAAACTGATTTAGGGGAGAGTGGAGGAGGGAACGCCAGGCTAACAATAAGCTATTGTGTCCATTCCAAATGTCACTGTGTTTCCTGCTGCTCCTTCCAGGGAAGGATGGATCGTGAGTAGTGAGTGTTGGCATCCTGGATGGAAGGTGCTGCAGAAATTGAGAATGTTCTGTGTGTAGACAAATACTTTCGAGGAGTCTCGTTATCCTGAAACGGTTGAAACTGTGAGCAGGAAAATGTCTGAGATTCCCACCAGAGAGTACCTGGGGGGATTCGACTGGCCCCGAGCTTGTTAGGAAACAAACTCTTGGCATTTTGGTCTCGGTGTGACGATTCTGTGCATTCCAGGTTATTTGCTTGTTCTCCAGAAAATCTGATCTCTGCCTGTTCTGGTGGCAGTAGGTTGCAGTAATTTGGATTTCTTTTTCATATTTTTGGGGTAGTATTCCAAAGGACTTGACGATACTCCAAACAGTTCCCATTGCCGTTAGCTATCAAACCAAATTGACCGAGAGGGAAATTGGTACCTGCTCAGGTGACACACGTTATTTCCAAGTGCCCAGAGAGCCAGGATGACTTGTGGAACTTCGCTAAATCACATCCCTGCTGCACACAGTTTCTCTGACAGACAAATGCCAGATACTTAGCGCTGTACAGAGGGGCAGAACGAGATCCTGGTGGTTGGTGCTCAGGTTAATGGCTGCTGGATGGAAAGGTTTTATATATTTGAGTATGTGCAGTCCTGTGGCCATCACCTTGGTACCTGCCCTTGGAGCTGGGAGTGTTCAGTCTGGCTTTAATTTTCAGGAAAAATGAAAATGTCCTCTGTGGTTTAATGGCATTTGGGCTTCAAAAGGGTCTTTAAACCCCAGCCTTGTTTAGGAGCAGATCTCGCTGAGCAGCTCTGAATTTAGAAGAGGTAGATGTGCCCAGGGGGCAGTTCAGAAATTAAGAAAAGGATTTGATTGTCTGACATAACCTGTGCAGAGCAGGGAGAAATTGCTTTAACCTGGATTGTGCAGAAGACCTTGAACCAGTAGTCTATATATACCGACCGGGGGCTTGCAGTGCAAAGCCAGGCCAATGTATCGTTTTATTTACAATAAAATTATCATTTATATGAAAGCCTTTCTCGTTGTGGTCTGCAATAGAGTGTCTTTTACTTCCCGTGTAAGCGGTACCTCAAGATAAGTGAATAAAACAACTAATGAGGTTTCCTTCTAACCAAGGACCTTGACTGAAGGAGGGAATTTTTCCTTTCAGGCACTGATTCTTGGGGACAGATGGAGAAGTGTCCTATTTGTGAAGCATTGCTGCTTGGATCAGGTGAGTGTGTGGCTGCCTCTGAGGAAGGTCACGTTTGTCCATTTTCACTCTTCAAAGGGAGAGGTGGAACGGCTCCATCCCTCTTGTTAGTGTGTAAAATAGCAGTATCTTCATTTCACCTTGCAGGAGAGTAGCTGCACTGGTTTCTTGGCTCTTCACGTGGAGATCCTCCTGATGGGGAGCAGAGGCTAAGCCCTGCGTGCAGATTTTGCCGTGGTGGTGAGTTCTTTACTCCAGGTCTTGAGCTCTAAATGCTCTTGATTCATCGGTGCCTTATGGGGTTGGTTGTCATCAGGTGGGGAAGAATCAATGGGGACAAGACCAGGAGGAGATGGTGGGGATGATGATGTCTGATTGCCTGCTGTGCTCTGCTTCAGCTGGGAACTCTCCAGGGAACACCCCAGAGTCGCTTGCTAAGTGGGGAGCTCCACCTCTTGCTTGTGAAGCTCAGGCTCCTTGAAAATGTATTTATTCTAAATACCCAGAAACAGTTAAATGTTCCTGAATTCCTCATTTGAATGTGTTGTCATTTTAGAAAGCAAAAATTTGGAGAAATGAGGTCTCTGGACTTCAGACAAATGAGAGATGCCATGAGGTCCCTTCCAGAACGGAAACCTCCCAGCAGAAGTGGAGGAATTGGGATAGTTTGGCATTGAGCGTACCAGGGTTCGAGACAGGACAAGCATCGCTGTCCCAGAGCAGGGCAAGGGAATGGGTAACCACATTTCCAAATATTTTCAGGCTGTATTTTTTTTCCAGTGT